ACCTGCCCCCACCAGTACTGCACCCTGGTGTTATACAGTGACAGACCAATCCCAACCAGTACTGTACGCCAGTGTTATACACTGACAGATCTGCCCTCATCAGTACCGTTCCCCGGTGTTATCCAGCGACAAACCTGGCCCAACCAGTACTGTATTGTAGTGTTATACACTGACAAACCAGTCCTCACCAGTACTGTACCCCAGTGTTTTACAGTGACAGAGCTGTCCCCACGTGTACTGTACCCCAGTGTTATACAGTGACAGACCCATCCCCACCGGTACTGTACCCCAGGGTTATACACTGACAGAGCTGCCCTGCCTTCCTGGCAGCTCCAGGCTGTGTTTTGGTGAATAGGGACATGGTTTGGGGCTGGAGATCAATATTAAGCTGCTGTCGCCCTGGGTGTGAGTTTAGAGCCCGTGGGTCGGGGGGGTGTTTGTTTAACCGCAGCTGGAGGCCCCGAGTTGGGAGTGACAGGACGGCCCTGAGCCTGGGTACTAGGCCCGGGTCTGTGGTGTAGCCTCACCCGGCCCCGGCCGTCGCCGCCAGCGGCTTACCCGCGAGTTGTTGAGCTCCATCATCACCTCCTCGAAGGCGGCCGTCTCTTCCGCCTGCTTCTGGTTGTGGAGGGCGATCTTTTCGCTGAATTTCCGCGGGTTGCTGCCGCCCGCCATGTTGATGGCGATTTTTTTTCCGCCGCCGCTCGCGGGCGGAATCGGCGCGGCCGGGGTGGCGAAGCGGCCGGCAGCCACATTAAACACGTCAAAACAACTCGACAGGCAGCCAAAAGAAAATGCTGCCCGACCGGCTCGCTTCGCCCTCTGGGCTTTGTAGTCTTTCCTTTCCGCTCTCCCCTACTGCGTGCCCTCCGTTGGACTACAATTCCCACAGGATACCGCGCCGTCATCGCCCTCCACCTCCACCTCCGGGAAGTCTCCGCGCGCAGTTTGGATTCACTCTTGACCCTACCTCCAGCAGCCTTCTGGGACTTGTAGTTCCCCTCCTCCCCACAGTTCCTGTTCCCAGAAGGAGAGAGGTGTGCCAAAAGAACTACAACCTCTCACCCACACCCCCCCGCTCCACCACTGTGCAGCTTCAAGAATGGTCTCTTTGGCTTTCTCTCGACCTTGTGGCTGCACGTCAAGTTTTCCCTGTAACTTGAGAAAGTTATGTTGAAACTATTACAACGTGAAGTGAATTTTTAAGATTTGTTGTTGTCTATGATCATGGTTCTAGGAAGTGGTAAAATCCAAACCTGGATGGTTACTGTACCTGAGATAACAAGGTGTAGAGCTGGATGAACACCTGAAACGTCAGCTTTCCTGCTCCTCTGATGCTGCTTGGCCTGCTGTGTTCATCCAGCTCTACACCTTGTTATCTCAGATTCTCCAGCATCGGCAGGTCCTACTATCTCTGGCTACTGTACCTGACCGCCACTATACTGCTTTGCATTGTTACGGAAACTTTTTCAGAATAACTCTCATCCTGAGTGTCCTTATGTAGGTAATCATTCACCCTCAGTCCCTATTTGTTTACTACAAGTTCACTGACTCCTTCCAGTCTTCCAATGTAAAATTAATATTGTTGGCTTTGTTAGGCTGGGTTCAGAAAAGATTCACAAGAATGTTCCCAGGATTGGAGGTTGAGTTATAGGGAGAGATAGGGACTTGAACCCTTGTCTCCAGAATGTTAACATAGGGATCCAGATTACAAGTCCAGTGACATTCCCAGCCTCCTCTGGCTGATGTCTAGCAAATACTCACTGTTAATGACATTGTGCTTGATACAGTGGATGATCTGCAGTCTTTAGTAAATTGCAACAAGTCACATCTTGACGCAGAGAACTTACCTGATTTTTCATTCCGTGAAGTCTTGCTTGTGAGCTGGATCCTTCCAATAACTTCAGCTATCTTCACACATCAGGCTCTGGTTCTTCTTGTGCTTGTCCTGCTGCACCCCTCGCTCATCAGAAGTGGAGCATTGAACAGAAAGCAAGAGTTGGCCACTTAGCCCCTTCCAACGGCATAAGGTCATCAACTTAAGTCTGTCTCGCTCTACAGATGCTGCCTAACTGGCTAGTTATTACCAGAATTTTGTGATTCTGTTTCAGTCCAACATTAACAGTGTGACACCCCAACCAGTTAGCATTCACTGTGCTGAACAACAATCAGGTGTGGAAACATCGTTCACTCCATCTCTAACACATCATTTCACCCAAATCCACACACATCAGGGAGTTGAACCAGTCACCTGTAGAACCTCAACAAGCTCGCCACTGTGACCCACTGGGCAAACATTAGAGGGAGAGAAGTTACCAAAATATCAGCTATGCGCAAGGGGGAAAACAATGTGAATTGGTATAGAAAGCTAGCGGGGGACGGAGTTCGGATATTTTTATGCAAAAAGCCCCATTGTATACAAGTCATTCAACTGTTTCAATGTGTCCCATTTTAGCTGAAAGCACACCCTCCAAACCCAGAGAGCTTATTTACATCAAAGTCTGTTTGAGAGGAAAGCTACACAAGGTTTCTGAAGACTTTTATTTCTTCTTAAAAACCACACAAAATTGTGCTACATTCATACAAAAACTAGCTATGAAATCACGACTAAAAGCAGAAATGGATGTATTCAATTCTGGCAAATATAAAGCTGAATCTTTGTTTCATTTAAACATTATTTAGACATGTGGTTTTAAACAGAAATCAGCTTAAGATTCCAGGAGGTAGGCTAAATGACCAGTTGGCAGAATTATTAACCAACAGGGAACAGAGAATTCCAATCTCCAAACAAGGAGCAGAAACATCCAGAGACAGGGTGAGCAAGTGCCACAATCTGGTTTCACCAGGCTGTATCCTCAGTTCTGGGGATGAAAACTGGGCCTTTCCTCCCCTTACAAAGGATGATCACGTGGCAGGGAACCAGACAGTGAACGGAAAAGTTTGATAAGGAAGAATTAATGAAATAAAGTTGTATGTGCAGGATGTGAACAGACAGTCAAGCCCTCAATAGGTAAATCAGTGAGGGGTCTGCACACGGAAGGAAAGGTCAGTGAAACTATTGTTAAAATGGAGAGATTTAAATAAACAGGTTATAGGACAACAGCTTTTGGTTTGTATTAGTGTTGTAGTTGGGATTTGAAATTTTAAAAAGTGAAGGCAAATGACAAGAGGGACTTGTGAACTGTGCTAACATTTGCCAGATAGTGAACCTGACCAAGTAGTTTGAAACTAAAAGGTTTGTATTGTTTGATGGAGAGGAAAACTACAGGTATTTCCACTCAGGGATCAATGACAGTTGTTTCTCAGTCCACAATGAGGAGTGTCCAGGTCTCCTAAAAGCCAGAAAGATGTTGTCAACATCAAATTGCAAACAGTGACCAGGAACAGGAACCGGAACCCTGGCTGATCTCCCCCCTCGCCCTCTCTCTAATATAGGGGTCCATGGACAGTGACCAGGAGCAGGGACCCTGGCTGATTTCCCGTCTCTCTAACACAGGGCCCGTGGACAATTAAGAACAGCAACATGTACATGAACAGCTTAAATATAAAGCATATTAACAGGTGTTAGAATCTAGGTTTTAAGCAATTAAACAACATTGAAGTAGGCTCCTAAGTGTATAATCTGTTTTAGTAATCAAACGTTAAAAAAAGTGATTATTTTCCAAAAAGAGGAAACAGTAATTTTTTTCAGAAAAGAGAGTGTATTTTAAAAAAAACTGTTTTCCAACCACCTTTGCCCATTCTCAGTTCAGTTTAAACAATTAACAGTGAACTAATCCAGAGCAAACTCATTTATCAATCACAGAATAATGAGATCAATCTGGCTTGTCTCTTCCCACCCACCCCCACCAACCCTGGAGATAGGCCAGTGACAGTCTCCTCTTTCCCCCAGTCACATTATTTCATTCAATGCTCTGATCTGCGGTCCTCCTGTCAACGTAGGACTCACCCGAGACAGGCCGTTATTCCTAAGTGCAAACGGCATGCCATTTGTCAGCCCAGGTGCCATGGTTAAAATGTACCCAGCTCCACTCGGTACTGACTCTGTACACTAAAACTTTAGCCACTTGACAACAGGCAGTTTTTGAAAATTCAGGCTCACCCCCAGCAGCAGCCTGCGATTCCTCAAGTTGACTGTCAGTCTGGAAGGAGCTGGTCCCTCTGACATTACGCTTCCAGCATGGGCGTGAGTTAGGCAAAAAAATTCACTTGCACAAGGGACACTGGAATTTAAACCTAACACTGAGGGAGGTTAAGGATTGATTGAGGGTTTTGAAAAGGAACTGATAGGGTAGATGGAGAGAAACATACCCTACTGGGTGATACAGCATAGGAGAAGGAGGCAGAATGTGAAACACGGGGAGGAGCAGTGGAGGAAATACAGAAGGGTTAAAGCGTGGCACAACCTTCGAAGAGCTGAAGAGGCCAGCTCAAACACACATTTGAAAATTGGATCAGTTTTGCTCGCCCAGGATATTAAGACAGAAACAGCCAAGGTAGAGACATGCGGTGAGTTCAGACACAATTGCATCAAATGAACGAATGAATGAATGGGTCCGTATTGCTGTAAAGGTAACTGGAATGGAGCTGTAGGGAAGATTGTAAGGGTCATTCGAACAGAGCTAGAGCTGACTGTGGTGGGACCATTGCGTTTACACCGGAATGAAAAGGACCCCGGTGACTAACGCAAAGCCCAGGATCAACAGGATGACTTTGCACAGCCGCTGGTGGGGTGAGTTGAGTTCGTGAGGCAGGATTTCCATGAAAGTTACGTAGATGAACGTTCCAGTGGCCACTCCCTCCAGCACACATCGAACCAGCTGGTGGCTGGAGTCCTCCGTCACGGCAATACCCACACCAACCCCCAGGGGGGACATGACAGCAAAGACCAGCACACAGCTGACAACCACCGTCCACTTCAGCCGACTCTGCACCAGTTTCAACGTCAGGCTGAAGGCGATGATACACTTGTGGACTGACAGGGCGATGCAGGTCTCCACTACCTTGGAACTGGCCTCCTGTAGCCCCACTGCCAACCCCTCAAAGACAGAGTGCAGGGCCAGCGCCAGCACCAGAACCAGGCAGCGGATGGCAGAGTGCGAGTTGAAGTCCACATGGAGGTGGGGCCCAGATTCTTCCCACTGAGCTCCACTCTCGCCCGAGCTGAGGTGGTGCTGAGTGTGTAGGTTCCCGCTGGCCGACCTGCCCAGCAGCGACTGGGTCTCCTCAAGGTTACTCGATTGGTCGCGGCACGCCAACACAATCTGCTCCATGATCAGCACCAGGAAGAAGCCCATGACCACGATAAAGAGCGGCAGGGGGAACTGCAGCTGGAATACAAACCCATACACACACACACATTAAAGCAGCAGGAATCACCAACGTTCATGCTCACTACAGTATAACATAACTCCACAGCGGAACTGGCAAAGAAAAGGCTGCTGGTTTGAATATACAATATGACCAGGCTCAATTCACTGGGCAGATCCAGAACAGGTTAGAGACAAAAAGCCAGGACAGTCTAGAGAGCTTTACTTTAAAATCATGAGGGACATGGATAGAGTGAATAACCACGGTCTTTTCCCCAGGGTGGGGGAAGACCAAAACTAGAGGGCATAGGTTTAAGGGGAAAGGGGAAGGATTTGAAAAGGACCTAAGGGGTAACTTTTTCCACGCAGAGGGTGGTGCATGTTTGGAACGAGCTGCCAGGGGAAGTGGTGGAGGCTGGTACAATTACAACATTTAAAAGACATCTGGATGAGTACATGGATAGGGAGGGCTCAGAGGAATATGGGCCAAATGCTGGCAAATGGGGCTAGATTTATTTAGAATATCTGATTGGCATGGACAAGTTGGACCCAAGGGTCTGTTTCCATGCTGTTCAGCTCTCTGACTCTACTTTGTATCTAACCCCGTGCTGTCCCTGTCCTGGGAGTGTTTGATGGGGACTGTAAAGGAAGCTTTACTCTGTATCTAATCCCATGCTATCCCTGTCCTGGGAGTGTAGAATGATCTCTGGATAGGAGAGATTTATCAATGGATCTGGGCAAGATGGAGTGGTCAATTGGGGCAGCACGGTGGCTCAGTGGTTAGCACTGCTGCCTCACAGTGCCAGGGACCCGGGTTCGATTCCACCCTCAGGTGACTGTCTGTGAGGAGTTTGCACATTCTCCCCGTGTCTGCGTGGGTTTCCTCCGGGTGCTCCGGTTTCCTCCCACAGTCCAAAGATGTGCAGGTTAGTGTGGGTTGGCCGTGCTAAATTGCCCCTCGTGTTCAGGGATGTGTAGATTAGGGGGATGGGTCTAGGTGGGACGCTTCAAGAGCCGGTGTGGACTTGTTGGGCTGAAGGGCCAGTTTCCACACTGTAGGGATTCTATGATAAGTTATGACCTTATTGAATGGGAGCAAACACAAGGGGTCAAAAGGTCAACCACTTTTTTCCTCTCTCCCTCTCACGTTATTCACTAATCTGACAAAATCAGTCCACTCTGAGTGACTGCACAAGCTATTGTGCAATTGCTGAAAGAGTATTGAGTAATTACTGGGATGGCTGGACACAGTTTGCAAGTACAAGATGTGCAAGACTTTCCTTCCAGGAGACACACGGCCACAAACCACAGGCTGTTTCCTCATAGACCAGTGAGGCTGATAAACTGATCCCCAGCGATCCCAACAGGGTAAAACCGTCTCCTTCTGCCCCTTTCCAATCTCCACGCCCAAAGACAGCAACTTCTCACTCAAGTACAACAGCCAGAGCCCAGCTCCTGACCCACAGAGAGCCAGCTCGCTATGCCTCTCAGACTCTGTGTTCCTCCACTGGGTAAGAAATATTATCTTTCAGTTGGTGGAGGGGAAATGGAGAGCATGTTCAGAGTGCTGAAGAAGATTGGTAGTGTCACAGGTAGACAAGGCAGTGAAGGCGGCATTTGGCACACTTTCCTTCATCATCAGTACAGAAGTTGGGACGTCATGTTACAGCTACACAAGACATTGATAAGGCCCCATGTGGAGCACTACATACAATTCCAGTCACCCTGCTACAGGAAGGATGTTATGAAGGGTGCAAAAAAGATTTATAAGGATGTTAGCAGGACTGGAGGGTTTGAGTTATAGGGATAGGCTGGGACTTTGTTCCCAGGACCGACAGAGGCTGAGGGGTGACTCTCTGGGGGAAAGAAAAAGGATTTCCTCGACTCTGTCCCCACCAACCACTCTTGGGGCAGGAGCAATAAGTGGTCAAAGTGTGGAATAAACAATTGAATGCAAAGGAAACTAAAAAAAAACCAAACCCCCTCAGCTCCATCCCCACCAAACGGGACCGGGATCATGGTCTGAAAGGTCAGACAGAAAAGGTTCCTTTATCCGTTGCAAGTGAAAATAAAGGTCCCCTTACACTGACCCCATTCAGCTCTTCTGGGGCAGCGTCAACACAGAGTTAAAAGAAAAGCCCCTTTGGCTCTTTCAAGGGTCCCCCCATCTCCTGAATGACATATGAATGGATGATATTTGATGTCGAGGGGGAGTGCGAACAGATTGGTGAATTAAAATTGGTAACAGATGGAACTTTGAACTGCAATGGAGGAAGACATTGGAGAAATCGATCCGACAGGCTGCATTAGAAATCAGTCGCGGTCTCAACAGCGAGTGTGGTGATCGTCCGAGATGGAAATCACAAGTGCCTCAGTAAACGGATGGGCACAGGAAGAGTTGCGATGTGGAAAACAGAGTGGAGGCAGGGGTGGGTGACTCAAATGGAGTGTGGAGGTTAAGAATGGTCAGTGACTTATGATGGAGAGCTGACAACGGGTGGTTTATGGTACAGAACTTGAGAACATGTTAGTGTGACCACATCAGTGGGTTAGTCATTTCCTCTGTGTTCAATCTGACTGACCTCAGTCACACCATAGCACAACAACATCACCATTTCCCAGGTCACAGTTCACCCACAACGAACACCGCGGGTGAACACTTTCCCCCACTCGTGACTGCTTCAATCCTACCATTGCTCAAGTGGCTTACTCAGCAGATGGCATCTAAAGTCAGAACACACCACTGCAGACGGAAATCCTGCCATGTACACATGGTCTTAAGAGGAACAGATTGCCGTGGAACAGGAAGGACAGTGTTCACTGTTGCTATTCACCTGGTTACAATGACAGCGTAACAAAACAGCCATCACCCTGCCTGCCAAATCCAACTGCTGAAACTTCTGCGTGTAGCTTGGGTGGACAAGCTCAGTGCAATAGCAGAGAAGTGCAGCTTGGTCAGAGGGCCCAACCTTTTCCATGTGATGTTAAATCAGGGTTCCATTCGACAGAGGGAAATATAAAAGCTCCTGTGGTACTGTTAGAAGCAGCAGTGGAATTCTCCTGTGTTTTTTTTTAAAACTTCCAAATCAACTTAGAATTAGGTTTTATGGTCACATGTACTCGGGTACAGAGATATAGGAGTACAGCAAATAGTGTACAAAGTCACCATTTCCAGCACCAGCTTAGGTCCATAGATATCTAGGTACAAAAATCTTAGGTATAAAATTAGAAAAATAAGATAAAAATTCTGCAATACAATCCTTCTAAAACAGGAAGACTATTTGTCTTGGCCTCCAACAGCTTTCTGCGACAATGAGTTCCACAGATTCCCCACCCTCTGGCTGAAGAAATTCCTCCTCCTCTCTGTTCTAAAGGGTCATCCCTTCACTCTGAGGCAGTGCCCTCAGGTCCTAGTCTCTCCTACTGGCAGAAACGCCATCTCCACATCCGTGCTACTCTGTTGAACTGAACATAAACTGACAGTAAATCTCCCTTTACTTTTAAATGGAGAGAAAATGGAAAGTAAAGCTCTCTCTACAGAAAATAAACTAAAATTAAAGTTCCCTTGGCGACATCTCCATCAAACATTGATGGGACAGGAACAGCAGGGGATTAAATAGCGTAAAGCTCTCTAGATTGTTTTATGAAAACAGGAAATCAAAAATAATAATAATGAAACAGCCCATGCTTGGGCACTGTATCAAAATCAAACTGAAGCTTATACAACCAAACAGAACTTACTAAAATTGAAATAGCTTTGCCCGAGGTGACGATATACCCTAGCCCCTGTAGTTGCCACCCATCTCTAAAGGTCTCTACCTTACTGGTGAGGGCCACATGTTCTGTCCACAGGGACACCCAAGCACAAACGTAACTGCCAACCGCATCCACTCTACCCAAGCCTCTCAGGTTTCATTCAGTTTCTCCCTCATCCTTCTAAACTCCATTGACTCGACCAGAATCCTCTACCACTCCTTGTATGACAAGCCCTTCATTCTTGCAAATCTCAGCTGCACCCTGTTCAACGCCAGCAAATCCTTCCTTAGATACGGAGACCAAAACTGCTCAAAATATTCCAAAGCAGTCTGACCAGAGCCTTATGCAGCCTCAGCAGTACATCTCTGCTCTTGTACTCTAGACCTCTTGGAACGAATGCTAACATTGTATTTGCATTTCTTAACTGCAAACCGAACCAGTTTGTTAACCTTAACAGAATTCTGAACTAGGACTCCAAAGTCCCTTTGAGCTTCAGATTTCCAAAGCCTTTTCCTGTTTAGAAAATAGTCTATCCTCTATTTGTCCCACCAAAGTGCATACCCACACATCTCCCACATTGTATTCCGTCTGCCACTTCTTTGCCCACTCTCCTAGTATGTTTAAGTCTCTCTGCAGCCTCCCTGTTTCCTCAGCACTGTCTCTCCAGCTCTCTTGGTGTCACCTGAAAACTTAGCAACAATGCCCTCAGTTCCATTGTCCAGATTGTTAATGCGTAAAGATCACGTTATCCACACTCACTGCCTTCTTCCAGCCAGCCAATCCTCTACCCATGCCAGTATCTTGCCCCTAACCTCTGATCTTATTTAGCAACCTCCTGAGAGGCACCTGGTCTAAGGCCTTCTGGAAGTCCAAATAGGTCACATGCACTGGCTTGTAACTTCTTCAAAGAATTATAAGAGATTTGTCAGGCCGTGCTGATTCAGCCCGATTTCACCATGCTCCATGGAAGCACAGTCTTGGGTTCGTACAGGGTGAATGTATAAATGTTTGACAGATCTGTGATATCAGACACCCAGGGTCAGTTTAAATAGCACTCACTGTGATTTTCATCTTGTCCAGCACTGCAGCCATGTCAGACAGAAAATCTGGAAGCAAATCCAACAGGCATGTGGCTAGGAATACACCACCCGCCAAGCAACTGAAGAGACTGAGAATTCGTCGCTGACCTGTCACGGAAGGATTCAAAGTCTTCAATGAATGTTAGATGTTTTAGAAAGTAAAGCTCCATCAACACCCAGCTGAATTCTAGGGCCAGGGTGGGTGGGGGGAGTGGGGTGTGGAATGACGCAAGGGAAGGTCACAATTTCATTCAGAATAATAGATCCCAGTGCTTTGGTATAAAGAAGGCCACAGTGACACAACAGCCAGACTTCATCTGTCAAAAGTTGCATGTTTTGCACCCCCAGCATCTTCCCCATCTTGCCCCCTCTCCTCTTCCTCTCCCCAGGGAGGGTCCATCTCTCCCCCCTCCATCCTGGGGAAAGGGTCCATTTCTTCCGCCTCCCCTACATGACCACTCCCTTCCCCCGCCCCCACCAGAGAGAGGGTCCATCTCTCCGACCCCCGCCATCTCCTCCCCCACACCACCACTCCCTCCCCACAAGAGAGAGGGTCCATCTCTCAGACTCCTCCCCCCTCCCCCCCCCCCCCCCCCCCCCCCCCCCCCCCCCC